GCACCGCGAGAAGTTTGTGAAGGCTTGGACCAACCGAGTGACACATTTTGGAAACACAACTTCCTGTAGGGTGGAGAGTGCCCATTCTGCGTTGAAGGAGTGGCTTCAGACGTCCACCGGCGCGCTCGATACGGTTTGGCAGAAGATTAATAAGCATATCGATAATCAAGTGACTGAAATCAAGTACGTACTGTAATTTTTAAATGCGTTATTATATTACTGCATTAATTAATTATAATCTAACGTTATGTAACGTATTATCAGGACGGCGCTTGAGGCCTCGAGATCTAAGAAGAATACACGGTATAAAGGAATCCGTTTCGCGAGCGTGATACTGAGGGTCTCGCATTACTGTCTGAGTTTATTGGACGCTGAGCTTACGAGGATGCACAAGTTGGACACCGATGTTTACACTAGTTGCGGTTGTGTACTGCAGCTCACTCATAGACTTCCTTGTGTCTGTCTCCTCCATAACGCAGATGATTTCGACGTTCCGATTGATCTCGGAATGATTCACCAGCTCTGGAGAACGCTCGAGATATTAGAGCCAGGTAATTTAAAATTAATGTTTTATTTATAATGTTGTATTAAAATACATTATTTATTTTAATTCATTGACTTTTTTATCGTATACTTGTAGGGACTGGTCATCCGAGTCAGGTGAGCAATGCTGCATGGTCAGATGCGGCGTTCTTTCAGACGCTTGTGACTGAGGTTGAAACCCGCAATCCCGCGACGATGCGGTACGTGAATCAGTTCATGTACAGTCATCTTTACCCAGACCAACAGGATTATGCGGAAACTGAGGTTAAGGATAACCCGCGAGGTCGTCCCAAGAAAACTAATTCAACTAAGCGTAAACCATCTGCTTTTGAGTACAACGATAAATCGCGAGGTCGGAAATCGAGCCGTACGACCAATTCTTCGCGTGGACAGACAAGTTCGTCTTCTCAACAGTCACAAGGGGATGAAGGTAATACATTTTTTTTTAAATACGGCTGAGTGTTAATTAAAGTATTTATATGATTATATAAATTGTGACGTGAAATTATTATGATATTTATTGCAGAGTTTCGACGACAAATATATTTGGATTTTCATTGTGGCAATGTATCCCCTGGCATATGTTGGACTACATAGTGAGTTACCTGAATGTGGATGCGGATGGTAACTGCGGATTTCGGGTCATCGCGAGTCACATGTATGGTCATCAGAAGTACTGGGCAGATGCAAGAGAAAACATTGCGAAGGAGGTCGACAACCACCCTGAATTGTACGAGTACATCTATTTTAGAGATATCGAGGCCGGACTCCGTCGCGTAAGATGGGCCAGAGGCCCTTTTGGACCGACTCACTGGTTCGAAGTTCCGCAGGACCTCTATGCCGTTGCGACCCTATTTAATGTGGTTGTCGTTCATTTGAGCTCTGGTCCACAAGGTGGGCAGCACGACTTATTCAGCACCACAGTGTTGCCTCTCACTGCACGATCATCGGCTAGAGGACCATGTCGTGAGATTGCCATTTGCCATCTTGGTACCGTAGAACACTACATTCGTTTAGATTTGACTGATGATTGTCCATTACCGCCTATTCATAACATGTGGTTCCGTTACCGAGATCAATCGGTTGTGGGTTGGGAGCATCAGTACCAGTCTAGGTTGCAATTGTGGTATACTGTTCAAACAAATCGTTCTTGAATAAAAGAACGATATTATTCAGTTATGGTATGACGCTTCTCATTCAACTTAAGTTTAGCAAATAAAAATAAATAAATGAATCAGTTCAACTTAAGTTTAGCAAAAAAAAAAAAAAAAATCATTCAACTTAATGTTTTACAATAATAATTAAAAAAAAAACCATTCATTACATCATTATTGGGCATTGTCGTAATCCAACTTAAACTTAGCCAGCTGTTCTTCGACTTCCGCCGCCTCCGGACAGTCTGGAACAATCTGCTGCAAGGTCGATGTAATACCCACTAAAAAAATGAAAGAATAAAAAGATAAGACTAAAATTTATTAAAAAAAAATTATTGTAATGAATTAACATTAATTAAAATTTAGTAACCAACTTACTTATGCGGTATTGACACGCGTTGGGACCTCGTTCTCGTCCGGCAGCTCCTCGCCCATGAGAGTCGGATGGGAAACCCGACTGTACCACTGCTGGTAATCCTCAGTTGCCTCCCCGCGATCCTGTGTGGTGTGGGTCAACATACCGGTGTTGACCGTCCCAGACATCGGGAACTGGGTTCAGGCACCTACTGCACCAGCCTCAGAATGCTCAACCTTGTAGTTCCTAGACTCCCAAGCACATACTGCACTGATTGGCGGGAATATAGGGGGAGGGACAGTCTGGACATACCCCAGCTGACGCAGACACCGCGCAGGCAAGTACGGCTCGACGACATCGCGGTATCGAATCAATCCGCTATAAAGAGTCCTCGACTCTATCGTATCTGGGCTGGAGCTGCCGTATGGCAACCATTGCACCTGTTCATAATTGCATAAGAGTATTTATAAAAATAATTATGTTATTTTAAATAACGGGTAACTAAATTTAAATAAAATAATTTCACGTACATCGGAGGCAGTGAGTCTGTCGAGGCGCCGACGGATGGCTGTGAGCCGATCGTCTGACCGTGGCGCATTCCCTACGCTCCACGAGCGTGATCGTGCGAGACAGTCAGGACCGATGGGTAAACGCCCCCGGGGTCAGAAATCGGGGAAATACTCATATATCCAGGACTGCAGAAGAGTCAAGCAGCCCGACATCTGGGCAGAGTCCCCTCGGCTGGCAATACCTAGCTGTCTGTACATGTATATCAGCGTAGCCGATCCCCATGAGTAACCCCCAATCAAATCCAAGCCGTCGAGCACCTCGTGCAGGAGCTTGGGGGTCACTCTACTACCACTCTTGTCGACGAACAATGTGGTAGCCAGCATCACCCACAGCCAGACACCCGCCTCATCCCTAGCCGGCCGGTCTTTCCCCCTGAATGCCCCCGAAATGGCGGCTTCGGACACTGAACCATGCTGCCAGAACGAACTTATGAGTTCGCCCTTGGTGACCAAAAGTATCGACATGCAGAGCCCATGGCAGGCGTCCGAATCCGGGTCCTCAGCGACCACGACTCCCTCCACTGGAACGCCCAAAATGGCCCGGACGTCGTGCAGCATGATGCTCATCTCACCAAAAGGCATGTGAAACGAGTTAGTATCCGGCTGCCATCGCTCCACAAAAGCAGAAAGGAGTGGGGTGTCCAAGTGGTTGTGCATGGAGTCGACCAAATGTGACAGCCCGGTCTGGTCGAGAAGAGCTCCCGCATCGGAAGACATCTCTTCACGCCAAGCCTTCAGATTGTCGATCGCTCGCAGTCTGTTGTGGCATTTCAGCGGCCCCCTCAAATTTCCACTCCACATGCGGGAGGCGACGTGCCCAAGAAAGCTAGGGATGACACTCCCATCAATGGGCCCACCGGGCACTGGGCCTCTAACGATCCAAGGTGCATCATCATCGGTCCTAGCTCGTTTGCTAGTACCTGGATTAAAATACAACATATCTGTATATATTGACTTGCTGGCAGATGCATTAAATAAAATATATTTAATAAAACATATTTTATTAGTTACGTTACATTTTTACATTTTACGTTATTATTATAAGCATATATAATTTATAATTATTAATATTATTTTTTGAATTTATAATTAATTACAATTTATTCAACTTACCCTAAATTACAAAATAATTATATTGTAGTTGAGGAGCAGGCCGATAATACTTTTCTAAAAGTACCGATAATTTGTTATGATTAAGTGAAAATAATTTATGTTAAACAACAATAAATAAGTAAATTATTTACGTGATGAGGATGCAGATGGGCCAAAACGCCCCCCAGCCTGCCGTCGAGGAGCAGGCTGTGTGGGACGAACAGCATGTACCGGACGAACATGCTGTAGAACCGGCTGTACCGGATGAACTGGCTGTACCGGACGAACTGGCTGTACAGTAGGACGAGGGTGGTTAGGACCCGTAGGCTGTGCGTGGTCCTGATCATCTGAAGAGTCGTCCGAGTCATAGTCCTCTGGACCCGGCTCCCTCTCGCCGTACGACTCATCATCAGCATACCCCTGCTGACCATAAGGTAATGGTACGCGTGCGCAGGGGGGTAACGACTTCCCTGCGTAGCGGGGAAAAGCACATTCCGACTGATCGTACGGTCCTGGTGCCGGGGGCATCGTCCTGCCCGCTTGGCCAGGATAATAAAATCCATGTTCGCCGTACGGGAGGGCTCCGTGGGGTTGCGAACTACCTGGCTGGCCCTCTAAATGATATGGACCAGTGGGCACTGGTGCGGGGGGGCGGGAACTCTGGCTCGCCTGACGAAGCTGTACCCTACGAGCCTCATCGATCAACGCCTGCCTTTCCGTGTCCCTCTCCCGACGAACGGACGCATTGACACCCCGACTTCTAGTGTGTCGGGTGCCAGAACCATCATAATAGTCATCGTACGCCTCGTTGTCGTCCCTGGCATTAGATTGTCCAGGTCTGCCAACACCCTGAATTAGAAATATAATTATTAGATTTTTCCAATGTAATGATTATTCTAATAACTATTAAAATAGATTATAATTAATTTTTTCTTTCATATATAAATTTTATTAATTATTATTATAATTATAATTGTTGAGATTTATAATAGTTATTATAATTTTTTAGTTCAATTATTATAATTAACA